AAACCCCCAAACCCCAATCCCAAAGCCTCCTCACTCGAACACCAAGCGGCACCGGCTCGGGGTCTCAAGATCCGTCCACCGGTTCAGTTTTTCTAAGGGCTTTAGGAGGGAGTCCTTAAAGGGGATTTGGGTTTAGGGGTTTAGGGGTTTAGGGGTTTAGGGGTTTAGGGTTTAGGGTTTAGTCTAAGGGCTTTAGGAGGGACCCTTAATAGGGACCCTTGTAGGTTATTGAGGTTAATATGGAGACTACCTGGCTATATAGGGGGTTTCGAAGGACTTTCCAATGGATATTTCAGGTAATGGGATTAGGGGTCCCTATTAGGGGTCCCTCCTAACGTTCTTAGAGCGTTGGGCCGATCCCACTCACCACATACCCAGAGAGCCCAATACCCTTTAATTAAGGAATAGGCCTTAAATTATAATATTAAGGCCCCTATAATTCAAGGTCTATTCCTAAACCCTAAACCCTAAAAACTTATAGATTCCTTTAATTAAGGGCCCCTATAACTTAAGGTCTATATTCCTTATTTAAGGGGGTAAGTTGGGCTCTCTGGGTATGTCGTGAAGGCAGCGAGCTCCCTGCTTCAGACGACGCGCTCCGGGGCGCGCTGGCCGAGGTGGGATGCAGGGGTTTAATATAGAGGCCATACTAATTAGAGTTATAATAAGGAGCGCCCCGAAATAGTATTGGGAACCTCCCAGAGAGCCCAACTTACTCCTTAAATTAAGGAATATACACCTTAAATTATAGGGGCCTTAAAGGGATCTATGAGGGTTTAGGGTTTAGGGTTTAGGAATGTACCCATGAAATTATAGGGGCCGTAATACTATGATTTAAGGTCTATTCCTTAATTAAGGGGTATTGCGCTTTCTGGGGACCTTCCTCCCCTGAAAGGGGCTTTGGGTTTAGGGTTTAGGGTTTAGGGTTTAGGGTTTAGGGTTTGGCAGTTGAACGGGGTGATACTTACGCCTCTGGAGTCCGCTTGTTGCGTCGCAGGGCTTTAGGCTTGGAGAATTGGTGCCATTCGTGGAAAACTACTTGCGGAGATAGGCAGGCAGCTTGCTAGAGACTCCAATACCCCTTAATTAAGGAATATACCTTAAATCATATTAGGGATCCTACTATAATTTAAGGTATATTCCTTCATTAAGGGATATTGGAGTCTCTGGGTGATCTCGTTGAGGACGATGCCGGTGAAGTGCCACTGGAAGCTAGGCTGCGTCGAGACGTTGCACCTGTTTGTCAGCGCTGACATGCTCACGTCGGAGATTCTGCGCAATGTGCATAGAAAGACCTCGTGTTTTGGTCATGCATGCTGGAGCACCGGCTTTCCTCATAACTCTCACACTGGTTTCTCGTAGCTACTTTGAAAGTTGAGCACAGAAGGCTCTCTGGCACCATGCAAAGTGGCAGCCGTTGATGTGCCCAGGCTAGCTTTCAAGCTTTCCTGCTGAGGACTACACGCTGCTGGACGAGGGCCCCTGCTTCGTCCCCAACACCAAGTACATGCCAGCACCTTTGCTCAAACTCGGAGACGACACTTGGAGGATCATGGGACTTAGTAAGTAAGGTTATAAGTACCCTAATTGGGTTATAATTATAGTTACCTTATTTATAGTAATTATAGGCACCTCTGCTCAAACTTGGAGGGTCATGGAACTTAGTAAGTAAGGTTATAAGTACCCTAATAATTGGGTTATATTTATAGTCCCATGATCCTCCAAGTAGGCCCAGCTTAAGAGCTTCATCCACCTCTGTCGCGACGGCCGTGCGACAACCTTAAGGAGCTGGATGTAGAATAACACATGATCTTGCCGTTTTGGCTGTGCAGCGTTGAATGTCTGCCGCAGCTTGTTTCCGCACAGGCGTCGAATAGTTTGCTCGCGGCCGTTTATCGTGGTCGAGCTGGACCAGCTTGTACAGCGCTCCCATGCATCTCAAGTCAGTATGAGTCAATATTCAACATGTATTTGCAGTTGGTGTTCGAACGTCTGCATGAGCTACTTGGCAAGAGGGTCCGAGCCGGAACACTGACAGATACGCGCAGGGCCAGTGTTGCTTGTCACGGCCCATGTGATACATATTCAGAGAGGCGAATAAAGCAACAGCGCCTTTCTAATGCGGCGGCCACCGTGTGACTTCGCGAAGAGACATGGCACTGAGTCTTAGCACTGAAGCACTGAGCTGAAGCAGAAAGAGTCTCAAAGTGGCATGAGGGCTGATCGAAATCATCGATCCGATGCGTGCCCATTTCATACCCCTTGCACAAACCGTACGCGAACTTTTCGCGTTTCTGGCACACACAAGCACACACACACACACACGAACACAAACACATATACACAAACACAAACACAAACGCAAA